ACCGTTGAAAACCATTTGAAATTTGTGTCAGCACGTCATAAATAGAACCCGGCAGCAGTTTTCTGTCGGGGATTTGTCGTGTTGTGCCACGCCGCATCCAGTGTAGACCATAGATATGTATATATATATCTATGGTGTAGACAGCATCGCTGATTATAATGAGTTCCATAGTATTTTGTCGCGCCGCGCCACTCGCGTCCAGTGTAGACACGGTGTAACATTGGTTTTGCTTTGTTTCACAGAACTAATCGTTGCCTGGGTTGCGTACGTGTGTGGGGCGGAGCTATCAAAATAGGGGCGAGACCCTTTTGGGGTAGGGGCGTGTTTGTTTCGGTGATTTCAAATGTCAATATTGTCTACCAGAAATCGCTTACCCCACCTTTAAGTAAAACTATCTACTATCCTCCTACGTATTTATTGTAATGCTGTGAATGAAGTTTTCTTTTTTCAGTTTTAAGAATGACAACAAATATTCTTTATTTCAAAAACTTGGCAACTTTATTTACAGTTCAAGTCAGTCACATGCAACATATTTTAATGAATATAACACAAAATTAGCAAAAGAAAAAAAAAGCATCTTTGCATTTTTTTTATTTTCTTCAAAATGTTGATTAAATATACAAAAATATAGTTTACAAATACTGTACAGAAAATATTCTGCTGCAGAATTCTTAATTTTATAAACATGTTTGTGAGATTCACAAACATTAGCAGTGTTAAAACAAGACTGGTAAGAAGGGGAGGGCTCATGTTTACATCTGTGAGGTCACAATAGTGAGGGGTGGAGCAAAATTAGGTTATCTCAGAATGAGGCAAAAGAGTGGTGTGAGGAGTTGAAAGAACATGTCCAGTTGGCATGGTGGTTCATAATGACTTATGAATGGGATAGTTGATACATTGGCAGTTCAGTTTTGATAGAAATTATACAAAAATGTTTGAATTACGTCATGTGCCTTAGTGACTCTTGACCACATTCTATGAAACGACTACTTTACAACAGAATAATACTGCCAATATCTTCCCAACAGCCTTTTCCAACAATAAAATCTTTATCTAGTCTAAAAACCCTGTTAGGAACAAACCGAAGTTGCAAAGTTGCAACTGAAATCGTAATTTTGCCTTTTCAAAATACAACTGGTCAACCAGATGTGGCACTCGCAGTAATGATCAGTAGAAAACATTAGTTTGAATATATTGAGCAAAAATGTAACCTATCACTCCAGTATAAACATGCTAATTTGACCTCCAGTTTTCTAGATATGTTTTGAAACTTATTGTGAATTTTGAAATAGCTTTTAACAATCTCCACAAAGCCTTAATCTGCATTAGCACTAACGTAGAGCTGTTAGTACTACTGAAATGTTACGGGTTTTAAACATAAGCACACAATAAATAACTTTTTTTTTTTTTGCCCCATTTCAGTTCTGCCTCAATGGAGAGGCACCAAAACGGAAGAATATGAAAAAGTGCAGTAATGTAATTCTTGAGTTTAGACACAATCAACTACTTTCACATGATATTGACACAGTTGAACCACAGCTCTCTATATGCATCCATTCGTGATCAGAGTGACACTTTAAGACCTGCTGTGTTACAAACGCCACAGAGATGAAGGAGAGATCATAATTTAGGACTCAACAATATTTGTCCATGATAAGGGATTACAAGTCTAAAGGAAACCCTCAGTGTTTTACATTTTGTTAAGACAGTACAGAGCAAACCAAACAACAACAACAAAAAAGCCAAAAGAAATGTCTTTTCATTTCTTCATACATGAAAAAATTTAAATAAATTAAAATTAAATAAACTCAACTTAATTCACAATCTGAATCTAGCCTTTCAAAGACACGAAGATACATTGCAGAATGTGGTGGGCAGTTTGCTTGGCAATGAATGGGTAAACCATTCAATCAGCACTTTAAACCAAACCAGTGCTGATTTAGTTTATAGGTTTCAATAAAACATTACTTGCTTCAGATAATTCTACTTGGCATCAAAATAAAGTTGTCACATCTGGCATCGTTTGTGGTGTTGTGGTCAGTCCGTATATGTAATATCATACATATTTCCCTTCTAGAGTGGCTTAACTTGGAGGGCTCAGAGACCCAGCAGGACCCTATGGCAGGTTGGTGGGATGACCCTGCAAAATAGCTGTATAATAGAGCAGGAAAGAGCCAGAGCTTCTATTATATTACATAGAATAAAGAACGGCCTTTCCTGCTGACTGAATCCACCTGCTGGCCATTGATCTTAATGGCTGAGGATTCTGTGTTGTGCTGGATTCATTGAAAGAGGCTGGAATGATAAAGACTAGATTGTGTATCCGACTTCAGGTCAAATCTTAGTTTGTTTCTGTAGCATGTCTAGTTTTATTTGACTCACTAGTGTGGCATTTCATTTATTAATATTTCTTGGAGACAGATCTGGGGCTTTATGCCAAGCATATTTTCAGAAAGCTATGCAGCACAATATGAGATATATATAGGTTATGTTCAAATTCTCATCGAATACGGCCTTGAACTCAAATGTACTGACGTGTGTGTGTGTGTGTGTGTATTTAACACAGCCCTCAGTTAAAAAGCATTTCAAATATAAAGACGTCCACAGATCAAATACTGCTGGGTCACATCCTGGCCTTAATAAGACAAACTCTGCATTCACATTTGTTTTGGCCATCAGCTAAAAGTCGCTGCGAACCGTATCTATTGATACAGCCATTCTACTAATCGTCAATACATAAACACTCACACAAACAAACATATACACACTGGAGAGCTGCTATCCCTTTAATATACAGTAAAAACGTAACCCTCTCTAATGAAAATAAAACCAATGGTTTGCTCTGTGGCTCTAAAAAAGTTTAAAATCATAAAATATAAAACAAGATCTTGCTACTATCACAAGCAACTAGGTTTGACTTTTGTGTAAAGTGCTTGTTAAAAAAAAAACTTTAGTTAAAAAAGTAGTTTCTGTTTTTAATGTTATTTTTTTAGTTATTTTTTATTTGCCTCTCACTGGTGTCCTCAAAAAAGTGCTTTGGTGTGGAACAGTTACTTTAATCATGGCTTGGCCAAGTAAAGTCAATTATCCCACAGGAAAAAAAAAGCTAAACCCAAATAAGATAGATTGAGTAAATCATCTATTATTGTAATTTGAAAAACAAAAACAAATCCTTTGTAAAGCCACCAAGGCAGAACATGAACATATGCAGGTCACATGTCACCGTGGCTCCGGGCACAAATCCTGCGCTCTGTCCTTGGATATGAGCGTGTACCTGTACAGGAGGGAGTGTGAAGGTAGTGGTGGTCAGATTTTTAGGAGAAACGCTTTATGCCAAGCATATTTTCAGAAAGCTATGCAGCACAATATGAGAGCCAGTACGAACACACACAGACACACACACACACACACACACACACACACATTGGCTGTTTTGCATAGAGCCACAGCTTCATGTGAGATATGTAATAATTAAGAAAATATAATACATCTCAACAGTACCTGGGGGGCATAAAGCCCCAGATTTACGCAATAATTCATAAAAAGACAAAAAATACATTGGGACATTTTGTTCAGTTTAAATTTGGTTAAAACCCCTCACTTAATTTGCAACTATGTCCATTAGTTCTATAACACATCTGCAAAACTTTGCAGACGATGAACAAACTGGAAATAAAAAAAGACTCTCTGTGGATGGGAAAAATTAAGCCAGAAACTGACTAATACTTTAACTATGAAGACTTAGTGAAAACAGACAGGGTTTAGAGCAGTAAGTGTGGGCCGGCATAATAGGATTTGCATCTAAAAATTAAATGTATTATATATATATATATAAATATATATATATATATATATATGTGTGTGTGTGTGTGTGTGTGTGTATTTAACACAGCCCTCAGTTAAAAAGCATTTCAAATATAAAGACGTCCACAGATCAAATACTGCTGGGTCACATCCTGGCCTTAATAAGACAAACTCTGCATTCACATTTGTTTTGGCCATCAGCTAAAAGTCGCTGCGAACCGTATCTATTGATACAGCCATTCTACTGATCGTCAATACATAAACACTCACACAAACAAACATATACACACTGGAGAGCTGCTATCCCTTTAATATACAGTAAAAACGTAACCCTCTCTAATGAAAATAAAACCAATGGTTTGCTCTGTGGCTCTAAAAAAGTTTAAAATCATAAAATATAAAACAAGATCTTGCTACTATCACAAGCAACTAGGTTTGACTTTTGTGTAAAGTGCTTGTTAAAAAAAAAACTTTAGTTAAAAAAGTAGTTTCTGTTTTTAATGTTATTTTTTTAGTTATTTTTTATTTGCCTCTCACTGGTGTCCTCAAAAAAGTGCTTTGGTGTGGAACAGTTACTTTAATCATGGCTTGGCCAAGTAAAGTCAATTATCCCACAGGAAAAAAAAAGCTAAACCCAAATAAGATAGATTGAGTAAATCATCTATTATTGTAATTTGAAAAACAAAAACAAATCCTTTGTAAAGCCACCAAGGCAGAACATGAACATATGCAGGTCACATGTCACCGTGGCTCCGGGCACAAATCCTGCGCTCTGTCCTTGGATATGAGCGTGTACCTGTACAGGAGGGAGTGTGAAGGTAGTGGTGGTCAGATTTTTAGGAGAAACAGGAGGGGCTACACCAGGTTCTCCACTCCGGGCAGAGGCTGCTGCGTTGGGGGCACAGATTCGGACATGCTCTGCTGCTGCGCCAGCTGCAAGACGGGCATGTTGCACAGCGGGCAAACCTTCCTCACCTCCAACCATTTAATAAGGCACCTGAGACAGATACATAGAGGGTTTAGAAGATGAAAGGCCAACTTGATAATAGTCTGCCCCAAATTTCCCAGATCACAGTAGAGTATCCCACTACAAAGAGACTCTGCTAACCCAAACTACCAATAATGCTCCTGATAGCAAGTCTAAAGTGATCTCATGTGATGTCTCGGGGCTGGTTGTGTGTCTTCTCCTCGCAGGAAGCCCATGTGGAATGTGAGACTGAATCTCGGGTTAGTCTGAATGAGATGTTGCTATCTCTGCACTGATGAATTATTCACTGTAAGCACCGTTCTATTTTAGGCCGTGTTGGTCCCATCAGGAACACAAACAGATCTATGATACAGAAGTCCCTGTTTAACCGCTTGCACAGTTGGGATGAAGGAGCAATGAGGGTTCTTTTTAGGAATTTTATCATTTTAAAATTATTTATATTTATAGTTTTCATATTTTTATTTTCACAATTTAATCATACTGATTAAAAAAAACTCTTAAACTTCCCTGTATTTCAATAACAACCCATTATAATCACTATGCATCCAAACAACAACAACAATAATAGTATTAATAACAATAATGTTTTATCCATTTCATAATTTGTATAATTATTTTATCATTTCAATCATTATTTATATTTACAGATTTAATAATATTTTTATTTCACAATTTATTCATACTGATTAAGAAAAACCTCTGTATTTCAATAGCAGTCCATTATAATCAATATGCATCTAAACAACAATAGTAATAGTAATAATAATGTATCTATTTCTTCATTTTTATAATTATTTTATAATTCCAATCATTATTTATATTTACAGTTTTAATAATATTTTTATTTCACAATTGACTCATGCTAATTGAGAAAAACCTCTCTGTATTTCAATAACAGTCCATTATAATCAATATTCATCCAAACAACAACAATAATATTTTATCAATTTCATAATTTTTTATAATAATTTTATAATTTAAATAATTATTTATATGTACAGTTTTAATACAATTTTTTATTTCACAATTGATAATTGAGAAAAACCTCTCTGTATAAGCCCATTATAATCAATATGCATCCAAACAACAACAACAACAACAACAATAATAATAATAATTTATCCAATTAGTAATTTTAATGATTATTTTATAATTTTAATAATCATTTATATTCACAGTTTTAATATTTTTATTTCACTGACAGGTTTTCTGTCCTTTATTAATAGTTCAAATCTATTTTGTTTAAGTATCATTTTAAATCCTCTAAAGGATCATGTGATGAAAGTGACAGAGGAATTTTAGGGGGATTTTTCATGGGCATGTCCTGCAGCTCATATATCATAGAGCGTGACATGCAAATGATATGTATCGAGTGATTTAGTGTCACATTATATTATATTTTCATGTAGTTTATTTGGGGCCTAATTTTATAGCACACATTGTGGCCATACTGCATTGATTCTAAAATAACAAAAAAAAAATATATATATATATATGAATTCATGTAAAAATAAAAATGTATTCATTAAATAATTAAATACTATCATATTACCAGTTTACCATTTAATATTTGACTTCACTTCAGTGACCCATTTAAGCTATAAAGATTGGCTGGATTCAAATAGAAGCAAACTACAATGTTGAAATGTTGAAATGTTCCCCACCCCTCTGATAAGTGTCCAAGCATTGCTCTGACATTTACTTTGGCATTTACTCTGACATACAGCCCAGTGCAAATGTTAAAAAAAAAAAGTGGTGAAGAAGATGGGTGAGTCAGACACATTTCAACTAGATCAGTGGCAGAAGAACCCATGCTACACTGCAAATTTGCATTTAATTTAAGGTTTTAAATGTGCACTTTATGTAGTCTATGCCACTAGCAGAATCGGGATTTCTAAAAGAATCAGTTTTTTAAGCGGCCAGCACTACGTATCTGCCACTGTTCATCAAACAAGTGGTCCAACCTCAAACTCCAGTGTTATTTTTGGCCCAGCTGGGTCGCTCAAACAAACAAAAAAATTGTTTGGTGCTGCTAGCGGTGCAGAAATTTCCCTCTTTTTAGAAAACAACATATGCCAGGGTACTCACTTTCTGTGAAAGGCATGTTTACACGGGCAGATTCCCAATTCATCTTTCTGCTTGAATTCCTCCAAACACACCGCACAAATCTAGGGAGAGAAAACAATATATTCCAGTGAACACACAGATAAAATGTTTAAATATAAAATTTTTGCCTTCAAAGATGAAAATTGTTCCATTGAATACACTCAGCAAGTTATTACAAGAAATGGACGATATCACCTTCAAAGATCAGTGAGACTGGAAGATATGTTGTAGTGCAGTATTCATGAGAACTTTATGATAGACATAAGATCGATATGCCTGAGAACATTTCTTTTAAGGCTTTTATATCATATAGTCCATTTTTTGCCATGAAATGGACTATACTCGAGAAGTTTCTTTTGCAATCTAGCAGTGAGGTGTAGCAGTTGGGGGTGCAGATATGACATTTCGTTTCGACATTTCGTTAAAAAGTTAAAAAAAAACGTGGAAAATCAGTGGAAGTGCAGCATTTTCTGACTGCTGCCTAACATGTCTAGACCTAGTGCTGTAGGAGGCAAGTCAAACACTCTGATTAACGATCTGTCTCACATCAGAGAGTGGAATTCTGTGGACATTTGGACTTAATTAAATGCTGATGTAATCTGGAGGAAGGCAAAAGACTCCGGTACTGGCTATTCCACAGAAGGCTGAGGGCTAACAACAGCTAGCTCCTTTGATAAAGTAGCCAATAAAATTCAGAGGAATGTATATGAAAATGAAAAAAAGTCATCTGAGGAAAAGCCAAATAGCAAGACAGGATGTACCAGGGTAAAGATATTAAACCAGATGCAAACATTGCTAAAAAATTATGAATGTTATGTATTTCCAGAAAGAATAAAATGTTTTTTTTTCCCTTCCCCCAAAATTTCACAACATTGTACTATGGTTACAATCAGGTAACAATGTAGAACATTTTAAATGTAAATTGTACATTTTAAACAATTACTAAAGCGTAATAATAATACAACCTATATATATATATATATATATATTAGGCCTGGGCGATAAAACGGTATCGATATTTATCGACTGTACACCCTCTTCGATAACGATATAAAAAATTATCGATATAGTGCACAATATAGGCATGTGCTATGAGTGACGCAGACCGCACACACAGACACGAACACATGCTGAATTGAGTGCTGTGACTGCCTGTGATGAGGAGATTGTGAATTATAATACCTATCTGTAATAATAAAGTAATAAAGTTAAAACTGATATGTTCCATAGCTCATGTTATACAGGACACCTTCCAGAACTGTGTACAAAGTAAATATTTAATTAACCTTGCTGACAGCAAATAACGGGGCAGGGAAATGCACAATTGTGCCAATTGTAAGAGAACAACGTCTCGGTTACGTATGGTAACCCTCGTTCCCTGAAGTAGGGAACGGAGACGTCACGTCCCGTCGCCACGGTTGCTGTACCACCGCTGAGCGGCCGGGTCGCCGGCTCGGCTCCTCAGCGAAAACCTGGTATGCATTGCACCTGCTGCCTTATTATACTCACGCTGTGATCAGCGGCAGCTGGATGCAATAATTGCATGCCAATGTGCATTGGCTCGTTTAGTTTACACTCGAAGTAGATTGGTCTATCGAAGCGATATCCCAATTCGTCGGTCACGACGTGACTCGTAGTGACTGACTGAAAGGGAACGTCTCGGTTACGTATGGTAACCCTCGTTCCCTGAAGGAGGGAACGGAGACGTCACGTCCCGTCGCCACGGTTGCTGTACCACCGCTGAGCGGCCGGGTCGCCGGCTCGGCTCCTCAGCGAAAACCTGGTATGCATTGCACCTGCTGCCTTATTATACTCACGCTGTGATCAGCGGCAGCTGGATGCAATAATTGCATGCCAATGTGCATTGGCTCGTTTAGTTTACACTCGAAGTAGATTGGTCTATCGAAGCGATATCCCAATTCGTCGGTCACGACGTGACTCGTAGTGACTGACTGAAAGGGAACGTCTCGGTTACGTATGGTAACCCTCGTTCCCTGAAGGAGGGAACGGAGACGTCACGTCCCGTCGCCACGGTTGCTGTACCACCGCTGAGCGGCCGGGTCGCCGGCTCGGCTCCTCAGCGAAAACCTGGTATGCATTGCACCTGCTGCCTTATTATACTCACGCTGTGATCAGCGGCAGCTGGATGCAATAATTGCATGCCAATGTGCATTGGCTCGTTTAGTTTACACTCGAAGTAGATTGGTCTATCGAAGCGATATCCCAATTCGTCGGTCACGACGTGACTCGTAGTGACTGACTGAAAGGGAACGTCTCGGTTACGTATGGTAACCCTCGTTCCCTGAAGGAGGGAACGGAGACGTCACGTCCCGTCGCCACGGTTGCTGTACCACCGCTGAGCGGCCGGGTCGCCGGCTCGGCTCCTCAGCGAAAACCTGGTATGCATTGCACCTGCTGCCTTATTATACTCACGCTGTGATCAGCGGCAGCTGGATGCAATAATTGCATGCCAATGTGCATTGGCTCGTTTAGTTTACACTCGAAGTAGATTGGTCTATCGAAGCGATATCCCAATTCGTCGGTCACGACGTGACTCGTAGTGACTGACTGAAAGGGAACGTCTCGGTTACGTATGGTAACCCTCGTTCCCTGAAGGAGGGAACGGAGACGTCACGTCCCGTCGCCACGGTTGCTGTACCACCGCTGAGCGGCCGGGTCGCCGGCTCGGCTCCTCAGCGAAAACCTGGTATGCATTGCACCTGCTGCCTTATTATACTCACGCTGTGATCAGCGGCAGCTGGATGCAATAATTGCATGCCAATGTGCATTGGCTCGTTTAGTTTACACTCGAAGTAGATTGGTCTATCGAAGCGATATCCCAATTCGTCGGTCACGACGTGACTCGTAGTGACTGACTGAAAGGGAACGTCTCGGTTACGTATGGTAACCCTCGTTCCCTGAAGGAGGGAACGGAGACGTCACGTCCCGTCGCCACGGTTGCTGTACCACCGCTGAGCGGCCGGGTCGCCGGCTCGGCTCCTCAGCGAAAACCTGGTATGCATTGCACCTGCTGCCTTATTATACTCACGCTGTGATCAGCGGCAGCTGGATGCAATAATTGCATGCCAATGTGCATTGGCTCGTTTAGTTTACACTCGAAGTAGATTGGTCTATCGAAGCGATATCCCAATTCGTCGGTCACGACGTGACTCGTAGTGACTGACTGAAAGGGAACGTCTCGGTTACGTATGGTAACCCTCGTTCCCTGAAGGAGGGAACGGAGACGTCACGTCCCGTCGCCACGGTTGCTGTACCACCGCTGAGCGGCCGGGTCGCCGGCTCGGCTCCTCAGCGAAAACCTGGTATGCATTGCACCTGCTGCCTTATTATACTCACGCTGTGATCAGCGGCAGCTGGATGCAATAATTGCATGCCAATGTGCATTGGCTCGTTTAGTTTACACTCGAAGTAGATTGGTCTATCGAAGCGATATCCCAATTCGTCGGTCACGACGTGACTCGTAGTGACCGACTGAAAGGGAACAGTGGTTTCGGACAAATGTGCCTGGGCACATGTGTGTCTGTCACAACAGCTATTTACTGTTCTGTGTGTGCATCATAAAACAAGATATAGTTCAGTATACAGTCCAAGTGCTTTAGGTGTCATTGGCCCTGAGCAGGGGGTGGCTGGTGAATTATCGAGACACAATGCTTCTCTGTTTGAGACGAGCTAGACTGCAAGCACACGTCTCGCAAGAGATTGTCTGCTGAATATACACTGTTGGGTTTTGTGAGGAAAGAATGGCATTAACTGGCCAACAACGGAAAGAATGTTTCTTCATAACACTAAACATGTAGCTAAATCCTGCACAAAACTGACAGTGCCTTGCCTTCACTATTGTGTTTTATACTCCAAACAAGGCCAGTCTGGTTATAATATATCATCCAAGCGTGTCATTCTCATCATGGATATTAAAGTTAAATAAAAACAGAACTAAGACTAAAACAGAAAAAAAGTTACTTGAAATAAAATAATCATTAACCAAAATAAAATAAAATATAAAAAATAAGCTTATTTTATTTCAGCTAGTTGACAAGGCAAAATTTCACATTTCTGTTTATATTAAGTTGAAGTAAAATAACTAAAACTTAAAAATACTGACATATATTGTTTTTGTCAATTTATTAGTTTTATTATATATTATTATTATTTATTTATAATTTATTATATATATATTAGTGCTAACTTTTATTTTGGATGTGATTAATCGTTTGACAGCACTAATATATATATAACACTGATTCCCATCACAATAGAGAGACCTAAACAGTCTAGACAGTGATGGTATGCCACCGAGGATCATCATGCATTTCTTTTTTATTACCATCTTGGGCCTCTTTTCCTCCTGTCTGCTAGGCTTCTGAATTGAAAGGACCACCTCTGCAGTTCAAACGTGACTCCCCGGGGTCTTTCTTACCAAACGGAAATAAGTATTGCTCGGTCCATTTCACACTGCCGCTCTCATGTGTTTGATCTCTCACCTAGAGAGCTGCAGCTATGCACAAGTACAATAAAACACAAACCACAGTTTTATTTCCGACCGTTTCACTGCAGTGGAATTACGCACAATAAATCTTACTCACTGATGCTGTGATATTTATGTCCGTGCTGTTCTCACTGGTTGCCATCTGAGGATCCATATCTTGGCAACCGTCTGGCACATATGCTAGATTTCTGCACCAGTGTGTTTGCACATCAATCATCCGTGCACAAGCTCTACCGTATAAAGTGTCTGTGTATATAATCACCTTATAGGAAGGGTACTTAATGTTTCGAGAGCTGAGATTATATTCACTCGTCTGGCGCTGTATCTTATGCAAGCTCAAGGACGAGGTGATAGAGCAGTGTGAGGCTGTATAATTCTGCTTATGAAGTCAACTATAGCCAGATCACCTTTCACACTCATGAGGGGTTGAACTTAAAAGCCGAGGCTACATGCTGTGGTTGGACACTCCTTAATTCCTGGATCAAGTGGAGAACAATTCATAGCATTACTTCAGCCAAAAATGAAAATTCTGTCATCATTTGCTCACCTTCAAGAAGATATTTTGCAAGTCAGTGGTGGACAACATTGGATTTCTAAATCATTCAGATTTGGAACGAGGTTGAGAAAATGATGACAGAATGATATTTTTTGGTGAACTATATTTTATGGTAATATCATAGTTTATGATATTTCAGAACCATCTTTGTTTCTAGGGGGGAAATGAACTTTGCATGGCTGTGCTGAACGTTTGTAACCTCTAATTATGCTAGTGAAAATCTCTCATGCCTGTGGTATACAATCATAACATTGTTTTTCCCGCCTTTGGCTTGTGTGCACAGGATAGAGGGTCCAATCAGCTTGTAGCTCGGCCCCACCGCTTTATGTAAGACCTTCCTTCTTGTCTGAGCACGCATACAAGTGCAAACCAGACTTACCAGTACAGGCGAGGGGACTACTGACCCATTTATTTTCAGTTCAACGAATGCCTCTAGAAACCTGTTTGTGGGAATGCGTTGTCGAATAAGTATATGCTTTGGCTTGAAGAATCCCCAAACCACACTAGATATATATATATATATATATACTAAACTAGTAAACAAAAACTAATAGTGCCAAAGCGAAAACTAAACCAAATTGAAAGGACAAAATGAAAATAGTCATAAACATTAAATTCAATATTTAAAAATATAATTACCCTGACCTGTTAAACTTGTTGAGTCATTATAAACAATGCTCCTATATGCTGTAGTTTACATTAGAAATAAAGAAAATGACCACTTTTTTTCTGCACAATTTATGCTGTAATTTTGCAGTAAAATCTTTAGAATTTTATATGGTGGAATGGATTTAAATACAGTTAAAAATAGCTGAGGGTACTAAAACATTATTGGTCGCTTAAAGCATAATCAAATCAGCCTGGTTAACAGATAATGTTGCCTAACAAAAAGATGGGAGCACCTGCAAATGGTAAAAAAAAAAAAAAAAAAAAAAACTGGCAAAACCATTGCAAGTTGTTTGCAAAAACAAACAAAAAATTATTAAACAAAAATAACATTAAAAAAAACTGAAAAACTAAAACTAAAATAACATACTTGAACCTGCTTATCAAATGCATTTTATTTTTAAGATAATATATATATGAATACATTTGAATGTAATTTTGAATAATTTTAAATGTATAATAATAATTAATATTTTATATATTAGAAATCACATATATAGTTTTTATTTCGTTTTTTAGAAATAACAACTAACAACCGAGATAAATTGGCTTTTATGGTATTTTAAAATTATAATAATATAACATTTTATATACATAAAATGCAGTTCAAGGTTATTCAAAGGTCAGATTACAAAAAAAAAAATTTAAAAAAAAAAAAAAAAAAAAAAAAAGAGCCAGTATCAGGCTCATGGATGAAAGTGTTTCCTCAAAGCTATTTGTGAAAAAATCAATATCAAATATAAAACCTTGAGTCTGACAAATGAGTGTCATGACTGCTGGTGCAGAAAGTCCAACAAAACATGAAAAAATACCATAAAAACTGAGTTTACAAGTGCAGCTGACATTTGCTTGGCACTTCTGACCGTTTTCAGGTGCTATTTCAAAAGATATGACTAATATAAAATCACGGACAGTGCTGTTAATATTGATGACACCTCTAGCACTTCTAGTATTAGACTAGCTGCTGGGAGAACTTTGTGTTCCTTTCCAAGATTGTGTTGCAGTTGAACAAACTTGTATCATGCATACAACTTGCAACTGCTGTCGCATCAAGTACAAATGAAAAAAGTCAGATGCGACACATGAAGCCAAGTTTTCGAACAAAATATAGCCTAACTCAGTTCAGCACAACACAATGCTGTATTTTTTTTGTATTCATGCACATCCACATATACAGTAGCTGCCTGCTCTTTGTAGAGGAATATCTAAATTTAGCCATAATACTGAAAAGTACAATAACCTTAAAATGAAACTATTCCTCGACAATGAACTCTTACGAGATACAGGAAGGGAGTGAAGGGCTACGAGAAATTCCAGGACAATTTGAGGATTCAGCAAGAGCTCTGGTGTCCTCACACCTCAATATTGTCGCTAACATTTCATTAGCACTCACATATGAAGTTGGACACTGGCCTATTAACATGGTCATGTACAAACCATCTTGGTGAAGGTTAAACACGCAATAGACTCATGCTATTATTAAACATGGAGAGCGTACAGTACAAATCCTGTAAAAGGTCCTTATGTTCAGGGCAAAGGGTAGCTCAGGTTTAACAGTCTGTATTCTGTAACCACTGAAAGGTACAATGTAACTGATATTCATGACCAAGTGTAATGTCAGACAGTGATAAATAACAGCGCTTATCTAAACATTTTATTACAAAAATACACAAAATACCAGAATTTGAATCAATTAATCACTTCTTTTTGAATTGGTTCATTTACTATAAAAAAAGCTGTAATAAAGCAGTTCTTAAAAATAAATTTGTCGTTTCGTTTCCCAAATATACTCCAAAATGTTTTTTATAGAGTATATTACCTTATTACTTTTTTACATTGCTTTATTAATTTTTATTACTATATTACTTGTATATACCTCTTTTTACTTTCATTAATGATTTTTGCTGTAAGATGTCTTTTAATTTTCATGTGCTACATCACAGCACATTTTTAATACGAAAAAAAAAAAACACTTTCTGGCCAATATACATCATGTAATCATCTCAGAAAATGAGTAACAATCAATCAATCAATCAAAAAAAAATCCTGCAGAGTTGGATGAAAGGGAAAACTCACCTCATGCAAGTTTAATTCTTTGACCTTTTCCTTCTGAATAACCTGTAAACAAAAAATAACAATAAGTTATTAAATGCATTTACCGTAATCCTCAATTGCAATTTGGAAACTCAGTCTATAAACTAAACATTTGAAATTGCATGAGAAACAAACAGAGACACTCACACCCAAGTTGAATCAGAAAGTAAATAATGTACATTTATATAATTCAGTAGAGAGTTTGAATAGATAAGTCAGCGGCTCACCTGCTTGTATGCATAGAGCTCTTTGTGTGCCTGGTGCCGTAACCTAGACAAAAGAAATCTTTGTTTTAATTCAGAGAGTGACATAACATTTTCAAAAACCTGTGCTGGAGAGACATTGATATTACCAAATTATATAGAAACAAAACCAAGATCATCAAGTTGAACCATGATACTAAATTACAGCCCATTTTAAATGGCAATGGTTTTCACAGGGTTTCATGGGTGTGAAAAATTCATTGTATTTGCATCTGGACCTCAGTTTAAGTCTATAAACTAAACATTTGAAATTGCATGAGAAACAAACAGAGACGCTCCCATTCACACCCAAGTTGAATCATACAGTAAATAATGTACATTTATATAATACAGTAGAGAGTTTGAATAGATAAGTCAGCGGCTCACCTGCTTGTATGCATAGAGCTCTTTGTGTGCCTGGTGCCGTAACCTAGACAAAAGAAATCTTTGTTTTAATTCAGAGAGTGACATAACATTTTCAAAAACCTGTGCTGGAGAGACATTGATATTACCAAATTATATAGAAACAAAACCAAGATCATCAAGTTGAACCATGATACTAAATTACAGCCCATTTTAAATGGCAATGGTTTTCACAGGGTTTCATGGGTGTGAAAAATTCATTGTATTTGCATCTGGACCTCAGTTTATATATTCCAGCTGTATTTGGTCAACACTTGCCTGGATCTTATATTTCAGTCATAATTTGACAAATTGCAGCCTTCACTACCCATAAGGCATTACTCCAGTCATTCTGAACATACATAGTATACATTATATCCACCACATTTGAGCTTAAATCACACAATTCAACTTTTAAACACATTGAAATCCACTTCCTCTTGACATTGGCTGCATCCAGTTCTAGAGTCTCTCTAGAGTAGTTTGGGTCTTGTATTGTCTCATCAAGCTTGACCACACTTTAACAGCCTGTCTGAAGCAGACTGCCCAGGCACTACCTACTCACACCGCTGCAATGCTTTACGAAGTGTGACTGTCAGACTGGAGCCAGACCCTTTAAAAGAACTATACAGATACTCTTGGCATGAACTCAAGAAATGGAGGCAGCCAAGCAATGGACAGTCTACATTTAACACTATTTTGATCTTGAGCAAGTGTGTGTGTCACAGACAGAGAGAGGGAAAGTGAGAGAGGAACCCTGATGGAAAATAACTGGAATGCATCAGGCATGATGGAAGAGTCTCTAGTGTAAGAAAAGCTATTTAAAGAAAACCAGCAAACGCCTTACACACCATGTTTAGCCACTAATTTGTGAACACTGAACTGTTAATGTCTGCAGGGCTGTTAGAACATTAGTTTTAGTCCAATAGCTTTATCTTGGCCTTTTTTGAATGTTTGTTTGCTGAATCCCTTTTCATTTAGATATGACATAATACTTTCAACCAATATTACTTCCTGTACAAAGGAAATGAACACAACAAACACTGCAGTATCTTACAATCACCTCCTTAGCAAAAATTAACATAGCTGATTAAAGACAATACAGTATACATTCAGAAAAGACTTAGCAAGTGAAGAAAGAGCTGGACAGATATGAGAAAAATTGAGACATGTATTGTAAAATTTACCTCCATTACAAGTAAGCTTAACCTCTCGCAGCAGAGTGAGAGGGACCTGTAAAACAGGCAGCACAGTCTAGGAGAGAAACTGACATTCTTAAAGAGACCAGCAGGTAAAGGTGCAGATACTCCCTTTGGGGGAATTTAGGGGTGAGGATGAGGGATTTATGGGTATTTTAGAACTTTTTTTATGTTTAGAATCATTGGCATGCATAAACAATCAAAGACAAAAAAAGCCCTTGGCACTAATGTTGATGTCTAAAGGGCCATACAAATTAATTTGTTTTTGAATTTAAAAATGCACAACGCAGGGCAGTGGTATGAAAAAACTCAAGTTTTTTTTTTTTTTTTTAAACTGAACTTTTTTTTTTACCTTAAAGGGATAGTTCACCCAAAAATGAAAATTCTGTCATTAATTACTCGCCCTCATGTCGTTCCAAACCCGTAAGACCTTCATTCGTCTTCAGAATACAAAATAAGAGGACATTTTTTTGATGAAATCCAAGAGCTTTCTGACCCTGCATAGACAGCAATGTAACTATAATGTTCCCAGACCCAGAAACGTATAAGGACATCATTAAAATAGTCCATGTGTCATCAGTGGTTCAACCTTAATTTTACAAAGCTACAAGAATACTTTTTGTACACAAAGAAAACAAAAATAATGGCAACAATACTACAGTGAGAATAAAAGTTACGCCTTCTTTCTTTGCGTGAACATTTGGGCGGCGTTATGCAAATCTTCCCACATAGTGAGGTAGATATGTGGGGGCGTGTTAGAACGAGCCGTTTTAGGTAGGTGTGGCTGACTCTTAACTTTTATAAAGAATATATTGAGACTTTAGTCTTTGCAACTTTACAGATCTTTTTTATGCACCAAGAGCTTGTAACACTCCAAAGAGAAAGGAAAAATTGAAAATCGCATCATATGACCCCTTTAACAATTCTTCTTCTCCAAATCACGTCATCCGCCTTTAATGAGAGTACCACAACGCATACTTGTGCATTCCTCTGCATGTAAACAAGGCACAGCACATATTCTCGTAACTTCGTAAAATTACAGTTGAACCACTGATGTCATGAACTATATTACCGATGTCCTTACTATGTTTCTGGGTATGGGAACATTTCAGTTACATTGCTGCCTATGGAGGGTCAGAAAGCTCTCGGATTTCAACAAAAATATCTTAATTTGTGTTCCGAAGATGAACGAAGGTCTTACGGGTTTGGAACAACATGAGGGTGAGTACTTAATGACAGAATTTTCATTTTTGGGTGAACTATCCCTTTTAAGCGACGCATTTTTAGAATGCCATGTCATGCGCAAGACACTGCAAAAAGATGTGGGTGCAATAGTCAAACATGTCCGCCTACCGCATGTTTACAAAGGAAAACTATGGAAAATGCAAAAATGTTTTTTGTGTTAATAGAACCTGAAGTCGGTGGTGGCTGGGCGAAAGTAATCACTAACCATTCGTTCTTCAAAGCAAAAATACAGTAATAATGTGAAGGGAATGCAAAATAACAAGATATTCATAATCATGGCCAAAATCCTACAATGTATTTTGGTCTAGTTTCTGAGGTCAGCTAGGTCAGCTAAGTCTCTTGATTGCTCATGATATCTCACGCACTATTAGGGTAGTGTTATAGTTCATCACGTAGAAAAGCACCTTATGACCATTTCCCTGCATTGTTAAATAACCGGTATGTCACAGTGAGTGCTCAATCTCAAACGTGTGTGTGAATTTCGTTTTTCTTCCCATGAGGATGACCGCACCAGACAAACACTCCTGCACCCGCCTGTTTTCTTCTCCAAGTGTGTGTTCGCTATTCACGGGGACATTTCGCATTTGTGTGTCGGAGCTGGTGCATGGCTGCTACGTGCGGCTGCGTGTTTGCTCTGAATCACGACGTCCTTCACAGGTCCACTTGAGCTCACGACTCTTTCGTCTTTCACGTCGTGAATGTCTACAGAGTCGCACGACTACAATTTGATGGTCCTTTGTTCAGTCTGTGATTTTCCAGATAAAATAGCAGTTTAACTAAACAGGTCAAGAGACCAGCTCCAGACCTCAATCATTTCATCTTGACTTTAGTTTTTCTTAGTTACTTAGTTTTAACAAAATTGAAAATTCTGTCATCTTTTCTCACCCTCATGTTTTAAAACCCACACTCTCTTTCTTCTGTGGAACACATGGGAAGTTTATTTTTTATTTTTTTAATAATGTACTGGTCACCTTTTCCAAGTGCATTCACAATAAAATGGGACTGGAGCTCTCAAGCTTCATAAACGATGCACAAAAAAAAAGTACCTTAGATGTGGTCCATACAACTATATTCCAAGTCGTCTGAAGCCATACAGTAAGTTTGGTATAAAAAAAGGCTGAAATGTTCATTCATTTTCATTGCCAGGATATTCTTCAAAAATACACTTTTTGTGTTCTACGGAAGAATGTCATACAGGTTCGGAATGACATGAGGGTGAATAATTGACCGAATTTGTATTTTTGCGTTAACTAGTCCAAGTTGGTACACTAGCACACAGAAATCCCATGCTGGTCACCAGCATTCAAAACACAACATATGCTGGTCTTCTCATTAGGGACGTCTCCACCCTGTCAAAAGCAGCTGTTAAATGATGTAAAAAGCTGTGAATAAGCACTCTGCGCTCTGCCCTATTGTTTCTTACGATGCTGAAGGTATATGTGGAGGTGAAAAATAGCACGCTAAAAATGTAGTGGAAAATGCAGCTGGGTAGAATGGGAGCCTACTATTTTGGTACTTGCTGAATTTGCGATTGTTGCCATTTCCATTATCACCTGCTGGTGTAATGTACAGTGAAAATCTTGCTTGTGCAGTCAACTAAAATAAATACCAGCTATTTTGACATTTTGTTAATTAATGCAATGACGGTAATGCATTTTTAAGTGCGCTTGAAGTGTCCAAATACTTTTTCTGGGGCCACATATTGTTTGTGCATGGGGGCATGACAAATATTTGCTGGTTAATTTAATGAGGAAGTCATGAATATTTGTGAACTAATTACATGCAAGGGAGCCTGCATCTTTAGAAGCCTGGAATCTGGACTAAATACAAACTCTTTTTTATAAATGACTTGGTAATCTGACAGTTTTTCATTCAATAATCCAGTGTTTTTTACTGATATGACTAATTTAAGACTATAAAAGGCTACCAAAACAGGTAAACATTTGTAAATGCAGTAAGAGGGAGGCAAAGTCAAATAAAACAAAACAGAACTAGTATATAATAAATGGGAAAGAACTTACCATCTTCCCCACTGGTTAGGGTGAATTTGGATAAGAGCCGCCGGTTCTCACTGTCTTATGTAAGAGATGCTACACAATTGCACATTAAAGCTTCAATATCTCTGCTGCCAGGAATGATCACATGGCAACAGTGCTCAGGACAAATCTGACTAGATGACAACTCAGTAGCTCAGTAGCTGAAGGAAAAAGAGTTTCTTAAGCTTCATGAAGGGCCAAATATTCCCATTTCTATGTGCTTGCTGTAAAACATCAGTATTCAGTTTTTGTTTTTTGTTTTTTCACTGTCAAGTTCATTCTCACTTGAAAAGTTGAAGAAAAAAAATCAATGTCCTTTAAGTTATGAAGCAGCTGCTGCAGAGTTCACTCAATCCAAACGGGAAGTTAGTGACACAATGTGGATTCGACCTCGATTTGTGATTGTGCAACTAAGCTGCTTTGGGCTCAGTTATTGTGAAAATAAGAAGCTTTATATCCAACTACATTGAAACTACAAGCCAAATCCAAGCAGATAGCTAGTTTGTAATAGTGCTTTTTGTTGTCAATTCAGATTATCAAGTCAGCAGTTTTCTCAGCTTCTCCAAACTGTGCTTTTTGACCTTCTCACTCTTCATGACATGAGAGTATGCACAAAAACTATCAAAAGTAACAATTCCATTTCAGGGACAAGTAATCATGATTTTCTTTCAAAATGCCATACAATTGCCTTGTTGTCTTGAACATGACTTATTTTTATTTTAGAAGTTTAGGACTATATTTACAAGCTGAACACGCCATGCCTAAGAAAATGCTGCTTTGCAATAAAGCTGTTCAGGCATGCCATCAAGACATGGTTTATAGACCAGTGGGTTTAATTGTGTATTTCAAAAGTATAAATGAATAAATGCAAATGACATTATGGTATGACTGTGTCATTTACAGAGAAGTCTATTTAATGAAATTTTAACAACCAACCTTAAATTTACTCATAAATCCAAAACTAAATCTAAAATTTCAGAGGGAACCCATTCTGAAACTAAACAGCTCTATTAGAACCAAACAACAACAAACTGTGTTAATGTGTAGGATTAGATTCTCTGTATTTAGCAAAAGTATAAATCAATAAAACTTGCTGATTTATCTCTACTTCTGTATTGGACAGCCACTAATAAGTAAGGTATGGCTCTGAAATTCAGAGCTGGTTCAGTCTTCAAAGTAAGCATGATAAAAGCTGCCTCACATGGTATGAACTCGGTGTGAAGATGAAAGAGAACTTCTCCGTTCCATCACCATCTGTCAGCTCTCCTCTATCCTCTCACAGAAGTCTTTTAAACTACCTACCATTTTCTATTTTACCTTTGAGCACGGTGCATTATGCAGTTGTCTAGATGAACTCCAATCCACACATTTGTGGCATAATCTAAGGCAGTTAGGTGTCAGCACATGAGGTTCATAGATAATTGTTACTTTTATATTTGTGGTGTAATTGTGACTTTAATGATGCACATTGGTCCTGTTGGCAACACTCTACACCACACATTCCAACTACACCCACTTGTTCATACTGAGTGAATTTTCTTTTTCATCAACTTCCAAATTACACTTAAATGTGTGTTAGCTGTTTAATTACAACAGTTCCATTTTGTAGCCTGTATGTTTAGGGATTAAATCAAGACTTTCAAACCATATAATTTACTGAAGAGAATAAATAAGCAAATGTATGGCATTTTGAGGCTTGTTCAAACACATTTTGCTGTCGCACACATAAGAGCCAGGTGGTCTTACCGAATCAGGTAACAGCAGAAGAGTAGGCTGAGGATGAAGACGAAAATGGCCGTTCCAAAGACCACAATGTAGATATTGAGGGGAAGGTTCTGGAACCCTATATTCGGCATCCTGAAACTGTAATGCTGTAAATCTGAGGTCATGGATAACCTAGAACGAGAGGGAAAGGAGACAAAGAAACAACAGTGAGTGATTTATTGATCACAACACTAATGCAAATGCTACATGCCCGTTAGTGTAGTAATCAATTTATGCTGTCAGCTCAATTTCAAAGGAAAATAATCACCCTGTCTGCCGATGCATGTATAAGCGAATGTTCTTGTCAGTATGACTGTGATTTGATATGTGGCTTGGCTTGATTTCTGAACTGTTTCCACAACAACTGCTTATGTACCCAACAGACCCATGAATAAACTCATTAATGCATTAAATTGTGCATTGGGCAGTGCATGTAATATTCTAGTGGAGAGAGTTTGAGAACATTGGTCCTGCAGGAGCCATTAAGCAATACCCACACTGTCTGTCTGTGGGAAATTAGTGTTAACTAATCTACTGAGAGTCAGCACAGCTTTGACTTTGTCCCATCTGAGCATGTTTTTTTTATACATATTTAATATATCAGATATTCACTTCTGACTGGAAAAAAATACTCAAAATTAAACCCTAAAACTGATAACAGAAACATGAATACATTTTCTTGCCAAAACGTAAATTCAGTAATGGAGTACAGTCACTCCCAAAAATATTTGGACACTTTAGAGTTTCAATTTCAATGTGTTAGAAAAATAAAATGTAAAACGCTGCCAGAGCCAAATGTTTCAAAAAGGATAAAACATGAATTCAACTGCATTAATGAAAACTGTTTAATAAAAACACTAAATAATGAAAGAAGACACTACAGGCAAAACCTGTTTATTCAGGCACTGGTCGATTTTGGGCAATTTTGCTTCCATAACTTGTCTTCTTTCAGACTAGTGAAAAGAAAACATCCAAAACACACATTTGAGTGTTTGTTTTGTTACAATTTATCTACTTCGATTTCAATTACAATATATCTTTAAAGGCTGTTTTATCAAAATTACTTGTTTCTCATGCACTAAGCCAGAAATGTCAACATCAGTAGCACTAACACATCAAATATTCCAGTTCTACTCTATATTTTGAAGATTTTTACAGAGGGTTTCGATAATATTTATATATATATAACATTTTATTCCTAAAAACATGGTGACTTTTCCTGGATGTTTGACAGTACTATTATTAATGGAGTTATAAAAAGAGATCCAAAATAAACATTTAACTCAAATATTTCAACAAAACGACACTATTTTGAACCTGTTTTATACAATATTTACATTTATGTTCTAGAAAACATGCAAATTAGCACATATTTAATTAGATGACTCATTTGCATACTTATAGCATTTCAGAAAACATACAAAAACGAATATAAAATAATTGTCTTAATGTACTATGATTAATCAACCTAGGAGAGTATGGCGATATCTGTGTTAAAGTCTAGTGTCATGCCTTAAAATGTAAAAATGCAAATGGGTTTCTGTGAGGTCTAGGGGTAAAGTTAGGAGATGCAGTAGTAAATATCTTTAGATCAGTATAAAAACAACAAAAGTCAAAGATAAGTGCCTTCTATAATAGAAAAATAAAGTTTCTTTGGAAGTAGCAAACCCCTCCAAATAAAGCTCATAATGTTGCTAAATAATGTCTTAATCCATATGATACAATTTTAGGGTTAGTCTAAATACATTTTTTAAGAACAGCAGGAGTCAGTGGAACATCCCAAATGTGTATGTGTGTTTGTGTGTAGGTCTTTGTTTATTTACATGTGTGAGAGTGAGAGTTTTCACTGGACATTCTTTAGGATGTTACTCCCCCCGGCACGGGCATGTCTGGACATGCCTTAAGTAGACAAGAGACACGTGAGACGGTGTGTGTAAACAAAGGGGGAGGTAGAGAAAAACTGTGTGATGTAACAGCACATGCAGCTGGGTGTTAGCCATCATACTTTGTTCTCACAGGCCAACTTGTACTGTCCCTATAAACATCTGACATCCTGGACCTGTCTGAATGCGACGGCCTTTGACACATTCGGAAACGCTCCCACTTTCACCCAGATTCCTACTGACCACCAACAGATTGTTTACTTTGCCTCTCCGTCTCTGTCTGTGTCCATTACAGCTTTACCCATGCAAAGCTTTCTGACAGATGAGGGTAAATATCCAAACAGAAAATCAATAACCAGCTGCCTTTACACACACACAGTTATATCAATAACAGCATCCCTCATTCTTACCGATACAGTATGTACTAGTAAACAGTAGTATTTTTTGACTAAGTTAGAGGTCTGAATCTGTCAGGCTCCGCTGTGACAAAAAACGGTTCACTGCTCTTCTCGTTTCTTTATATTGCTGTACAGCCATTAATCGTCTGAGCTCTTGTGGCCTGGTTTTTGTCACAAAGCCAAAACATACATTCACACTGACATTTCAATGCCCTCAAACACAAAGATGCATGCACTTGGGAAAACTCCTCAAGTTCAGGACATGGGAAAGACTCCGGAAGGACTTAGATATTAAAAGAATGAGGGGGTTGGGCATGGGTTCAAGACTGGGAGAGTCTCCATTGGCTGCTGGCAAGTACTTATCCTCCTTTTCCCCTCAGTGTCAGTGATAATATTAATTTTAATGTCATGTCTGTTGAATGATTACTTGCATGCAAAATTTGCCACTTTTTAATATATTTTAAAATGCAAAATATTCCTGTGTTGCAACGCTTAAGTTTCAGCAGCCATTACTCCAGATTTCAGTGTCACATGATCCTTGAGAAATCATTCTGATATGCTGATTTAGTGCTCAAGAAACATTCTCACTGTTATCAAAGTTGAACAAAAAGACACATTACCCTGAACAAACAAAAACAGAGATAAAAAAAAAAAAGATTCTCAGTATCAGCCCAGGTATTCGTTGCTGATAATACGTGAGCAAAAACATCTTAACTACTTATAATTGGTTAGGTTATAATCAGGTTACAGTGAGTTGCTCAGAGACAAGAAGCCAAAGTATGAGAGCTGAATGCATTTGTCACAACATCACTTTCACCCCAGTTAACAGTCGCAGCATTCCAACTGAGATTTGTGTTTATCAACCATAATGAGGGCAAACTGAGTACACAAAAGCAGTTTTGATAGGTGAAAAAAATCCAATACAATCATAAAATATACACTGATAAGGAAATTCTGGGGCGATATCAATAACAATTAATCAACAGCTTATTCTGGCTGATATAATAACTGGTGCATTTACTTTATGAAATATAATAATAATAAACATAAGATGAAGCATCACACAGATAAGATAAGTCATGAATCGTTGGAAAGATCTCATCACTGAGACACTAAAATAAACCCAGTAAAACTAAACAAATGAGTTAAAATATTGGGCAGTAATTCCATTTTTGGTATCATTATAATAAACTGAATTTAACCAGTAAGTGCAAATAATATAACTGCTGCTATTTCATTTGCATCTTTGCATTGCAAGTTTTATCTTGTAATTAATAAAACAATTTAATGAGTGAAGTGATATTGCTCTGAAAACTCATTTCTGCCAACATTGTCAGCTCAGTGCAAAATTCCTAGTCCAATTTTGCTTACGAGTCTGGTCCAGAACCTTTTAAACAAAACTGGCTCTCACACATACCTTTAAACAAGCTGAATCTTTTTCCAGGTAACAGCAGCTATCAATTTTGACTTTATAACCATTTAACAGATCGTAAACGTGAAGAACCGCAGCACTTATTTATAGCAAATCTGATTACAGTTTATGATTTTATGACACTGGTAGGAAAAAATATTTTGTTTACACATGACATAATAGCAAGAATCCACCTTGGGAGTGTTAGGGATTTCCCCCAAATCTGATCCTGTGATTCTGAGAAGATGTTTCTTAAATGAGCAATAGACATCTTTCCTTCCTGTCTCATTCTCGATGGACTGCAGGACGATAGTTACACAACTTTCAAGATCCTTGCCTGTAAAGGGAATCTCCAATAGTGACCCGGTCAGATGGTGTAAAAGCTTTAGAAACTCATGTCAACTTCTCAATAAGGAGAAGAGAGAAAGCTTGCAGAGGACAAGCAGGGACACTACAAATGAAAACTCCCAGAGTGTGTACCAGTGACAGTTTCACATTCCAGCTTCTGCTAAGCAAGCGAGTCGCAGACACCAAATGTATTCTGGAGCCACTGTCCTGCTGTTAAAGACAACCCAAACCACAAAAGGTGTTTTTAAGTGTCAGTCAGGCCATTGCTGCCACCCAAAATGAAAGGAAGTGAAACTAAACCGGTTCTTTTTCTGATCTTCCGTACCACAGGGTGCAATATCTAGTCTCTTCTCGCCCCTACTTCCCATTATGTCACTGAACTGACCAGACAAGCTCATTCTGCAATGCTCGGCTTGCTGTAACGACACTGCCAAATGGTATTTTCACCCCCCCGAGGAGGAAAAGCTTTTCAATAGTGCATTGAGTCACTCTCAGAACTGAGAGGAAGTGCAGAGTAACACTGGAGTGGCCCTTGCTTGTTCAAAATGTGTTGCATTTTACAATCCTTAATGTGTTCAGATGGGTTATAAAAAGTGCTCTTGGGCTTAAAAGAGGGTTCTGACTAAACAAAGATTAATGCACTTTTTGGTTTTATTAAAACAAAGCAAAGACACCTACTCTATAGTGCCCTATTCACATCTACTTTATTTCCTTTTTAATTTCAGTGTGAATAAAGGAGTGCGAAGTCTCAAAAAGTCTCAATAGCCCAACTGGTGCACTTGAAATATAATAAAGCACTTAAAGGATTCATTTTAAGGAAACAAATCTATTCCTACAAGAAGACTTACTTACAACACTAGTAAATATCTATGATTGGTGCTTGGAAATTAAATTGCACTGGAGTGAAAGCAAGGCTTAACAATAATCTTGAATCTTGAATAACAGAATATTAGTATAATTAACTTAAAATTTGTTTTACATGAAATAGCAATAGACCACTTTTTTTTTTTACTGCATTTACCCTTAGTTAGCATTAGCCTAATTTATAAATATACTAAATATACAATTAATGATCATGCATAGTTCATTAAC